AATCAACCCTTTTGTTGCAGCTGTCAGGCCTGCAGTGGCAGTGGCGGTGGTGGCTATGGTGGTAGTCGTAGTAGTCGTGGTAGCCGTAGCAGTCTTAGGGTTTAGGGTTTAGGGCCGTTGTCGTAGCAAGAGCAGCTGTAGTTGTTGGAGTCCTCGTCGTCCTCATAGTCGTAGTAGTGGTTGTGGCAGCAGGAGGAGGAGGAGTTGCAGAGACAGAGTGGCAGCGTTAGCAGCAGTGACGAAGTCGCGGTACAGACTTTGCACATGGTCATAATCTCAGCTGGATACGAACTGGTCACAGAAGTAATGGCAATACTACTTGCAGAAGCCAAGACTGCAAAAAGGTTACTTATGACCCGTATCGTGACCTACTTACTACGTCCCCTGAGCCTTCAAGCATCGGTTCTGAAGCCGAGGAGAGCGGTGGACGGAAGATGATGACAACGACCACGGCGACAACCGCAACACTGGGCTTCGAGCAAGCCGCGAAGGTTCGTTCTGGGCACTGTGCTGGCAGATTCTGCAAGACCTCGTTTCGGAGCAGTAAGTTATGTTGCGTAATCCCTAACACCTCAATTGTACACTTCCCAAAACCCTGGTGTAGCGGCGCCAAGCATCAGAGAATCAGAACGGGGTTTCGGGCCATAAAAGAGCCCCTTAAAGGACCGCTTAAAAGGGAACCCTCCCTTAAAGGAACCCTAACAGGAACCCTGTAAGAGGTTGCAGTTCCTACTTATTCGAACCTGTGGTCCCTGACATTGAGTCCATACGTTGGCAAGCTTCTCTTGCCAGGGTTTAGGGTTTAGGGTTTAGGGACGTGCCTGCAACAGCAACCTTGCTTTAGACTCTCCCTAAACCCGAAACCACCAGAACCCTTAAACCGTGAACACCCGAAACCCTAAAGACCTAAACCCCTTCCGCAGTATCGGCCTGACACTGTCCATTCTCGCATGCTAAACTGATGCCCCAAAACCCTCAAACCGTAGGCCCTAAATGCCGGAGGCCCCAATTAAATTGCCGTAACCCCCAAACCAGAAAGTAACCCCATAGCGGTAAGCACTACAAAACGCTACCCTAGGCCTAGACCCCTAAACCCTAATACCATAATCATAGGAACCCCCAACATAGTATTGGTTAGGCCCCCCATATTAAGCCCCAAAAACCCCCTAACCTCGAGTGTAGTGTACTTGTCTTGAACCTGCCTCGAAACTGATGTGGATGTGTCACACGGCACCGTCGGAAATGCTCGTGCGCAACCCTAAACCCTAAACCCTAAACCCTAAACCCTAAACCCTAAACCCGAAAACCCTAGACCCTCTGGGCTCTACTGACCCCGATGCTTCGGAACACCAATAGCCCCAATGTAGGGGCCTAAATAATTACGTATACGAAGTACTATATTACGGTTGATGATATATATATATATATCATGCATTAGCCATAATAAGGAATATACCATAATTCCCACAGTTTAGGGTCCCTAAGGTAATGCAGGATTTATGTCATCAACAGTATTTTGGGATCCTTATTGTAATTCATGGGCCCCCAAACCGTATGCTAACTATTTAGGCCCCTACACGAGGTTCCCCAGTAGCCCCAAAATGATAATGGTGCCCTTTTTCCTACTATTTGGGTTTATTAAATAAAGGAACCCAAAAAGAAACAGGGCAAAAGGGTACTACTGGGGAAACCTAGTACATTACCCCTTGAAGCTGCGGGCTGCCCCGAAACCCTAAACGTTATAATTAGGCTGGAAGTAACCGGAAAAGCGCTCGGGCAAGCCCCTTGCCATGCCAGGGCGTATTTTGGACCTACAATTTCGCCGTTAGGGTTTAGGGGAGGTGTTAGGGATTACGAAACATGCTTTACTATTTCCAAACTCCGTGGCAGGCCGTATTTTGGACCTCCACCACGACGACCACGGAGACCACCACGGTGGGGGTCTAAGATAGGGGACTCTAATATAGCACCCTAAATAGTAGGATCCTTATTATAAGGACCCCAAAATAAGGTACCCCTTCTTTTCGGAAACTCCCATAGGGCGGCAGATGATTGAAGCTAAGGTCACTTCTGGAGGACCACTTTGATCTAGCTGTGGGTGTTCTGAAGAGTACGTAGGGCTGCCGCTGCTAGGCTCCCAAGCACCATTTGCACTTTTTTTCCGGGGGGCGGGTGAAACGGAAGACTGGGAAAAAGGGCACCTGTGATGTTAAGGGGCTGCTGGTGAAACTGGCTGAGGGTCCTGAAAAGAGGGATACTGCTGTTCGGGGTATATCTTAGTCTTTTAGGTTGACGGTGAGGGTGCGGGGCTTACCTACCTTGTAGGCTCCTTTTTATGAGGGTGCCGTGCTTTTTGGGACCTGGAAGGGGGCTTAAACCCTTAAGCCCGAAACCCTAAACCCCTAAACCCTACGAAATCAGAGAACTACCCACTTTCGCAGTGCCCTCCAAGCGCAAGGTCTTAAGCGAGAGACCAAAGACCTGACCTTGTCTCTTCTAACCCTAAAATCCATACTTAGGTCTTAAATGGGTTCCTCTAACGGTTCCTTTAAGGGATCCTTTCAGGGATCTATGAATCTATGACCTATAGTTTAGGGTTTAGGGCTTCATGTACTTATAGTATATACTTAGGCCTTAAAGCAGTCCCTAAACACGATAGGAACTTCAGGGTCATAAAGATGCATGGACCCTTAGGGTAAGGCTTCGGGCTTTTAGTTTACATTAAGGTTCAGGGTGTAGGGTTTAGGGCTTGAAATTTGGGGTTGGTATGGGTTTGGGGCTTGGGGTCCGGTTAGTCTTGCTTAGTTGTAGAGTAATGTAGGGGCCTTAATAATTAGAAGAGGCCTGAGTAACAAGGCTTAAAGCCCGACGTGCTATGAACCCTTAGCCCTTAAACCCTAAACCCTACTTAAACGATCATGGCAGCTAGTCACTAAGGTTATACATAACTTATACGTACTTATGACCCCAACCAAGATGCCTAAATCCTAACCCCTAAACCCCTAAACCCCTAAACCCGAAAACCCGAAACCCCTAACCCCTAAACCCTAAACCCTAAACCCCTAAACCCCTAAACCCCTAAACCCCTAAACCCCACAACCTTAAACCCTAAACCCCTAAACCCCTAAACCCACAACCCTAAACCCAAAGCCCTAA